GTTTAGGGGTAGAATACATCCGAATCCTAGAGCTGACAGGTGTTGCGAGGGCAGGCCTCTCTATGTGACTGCGAACCTTCGGCTCTCGCTTCTTCTTCGGCTCTCGGCTCTCTTCGGCTACGTTCGGCCGACGCTCGTCTCGGCTTCGGCTATCTTCGGCTGCGTTCGGCCCACGCTCGTCTCGGACTCGGTTTTCTTCGGCTACATTCGGCTAGCACCCGTTTTTCTTGGACTCGGCTCTTTTCGGCTGCGTTCGGCTGACGCTCGTCTCGTACTCGGTTACCTTCGGCTACGTTCGGCCGTGGGCCCGGAAGGGTGTCTATGGAGTCGGGAGTGCCGGCCGGAAAAACAGCAATGGCTCCGCTGCTAGAGTATGAGCGGCAGCTGGTGCTGGAACTGCTCGACGCGGACGGGCTGGTGGTGTGCGCCCGCGGGCTCGGCGCGGACCGGCTCTTGTACCACTTCCTTCGGCTGCACTGCCACCCAGCGTGCCTAGTGCTGGTGCTCAACACGCAGCCCGCCGAGGAGGTGCGGCCGCCGGCGGCGCCGACTGAGGGGACTGCGGGAGCGTTGGGGGCGGATCAGGTCCTGGCGCGGCGGATACGGTGCCTCTGAATGGGATGAAGGAACTCCAGGGGTGCAGGGGTGACACGGGCGGGAGGGCTGCGAGAGGCTCCGAGAGGAGTAGGAGAGTCATTGAGGGTGGAGCGAGGCCTCGAGGCCTCTGCAGGGATCGGGCCATGTCTTAAGGAGGCTACGGCCGGGAATAATGGGAAAGCCCCGAAGTTGGATATTGAGAAGCTTCTCGGGGCGGAGGAGTGGGATCTCTGAAAGGGAGCAATTGTAGGGGTGGAGAGGTTCTCTGAAGATGATGGGGAGACATGAAAGGAGACGCTGAGGAGGGGAGAACCCTGTGGCGAAAAGGGGCCACTGTGGAGAAGTGCAGGAGCCCTAGTGGCGCAGTGGTTAAGCACCCTTGACAACTAACCAAGAGGTTGACAGTTCGAACCCACCAGCCCCTTGGCGGGAGCACGATGTGACAGTCTGTATTTGAGAAGACTGAGGCCTTGGAAGGGCCGGAGTGTGAAGGAAGGAGGTGGGGCGGGCATATACCTGGCTGAGGTGTCGTCTGACAAGGCTGAGGCGCCCCCAGATAGAGCAGGTGGCCAGGAGAAAAATGTCACCTAAGAGTGGTCAGAAACTCGCTGGGGGCAGGTACCCTGTCTCCTTCAGCTGGGTATCCCCAGTGCTTGGCGTCCAGCACAACCCAAGGTGCCCCGTGACCATGGTATCAGACTGAAGGTGTAAGGGACAGAGGACCCTCTTACGTAAGTTCTCTCTAGGATGGATGGGGACAGACCTAAGAGTCGAAAACAGTGTCTGGGAAAGGGATTCCTTTGTGTCCCTTGTATGCAGGTTTGTAGGCTGCAAACGTGACTTTGATGGGGAAGTATTTTCCAGGTAGCACAAGTCTTTTAACCCAAGGTTTTATTTATTTTTGTTGTTATTGTTAAAGTATTATTAGCAA